AAGTCTTGACGAGGATAATAAACAAGAAACCAATAATTACATACTTGCTAAAAAATAGCCAGAATTAATGCTTCGGATTCCTGGAAAAAATTGGCAAATCTTAATTTTGAGGGAAAAAAATTGTACAACAATCCGAAGAAGAAAAAAAAAAAAATCATCCGACAAGCTTCTTCGTAGAAAATCTGAATTTTTTTTCCTTCGTTGTTTATTCTTATTTTTGTTTTGTTTGCATTTGGTTTTTTTTCTTTTCCTTTCACTTGTTAGTTAGACTTTTTTTCTTCCTCTTCTTTTAATAAAGATTTTGCTTATTAAAAAAAATGGTTCCTGGCTTCAAATTAACCAGAGATTTATAAAATCAAATCCCGCACTCATCAAGGTTTACCCAACAAAGAAAACAAAAACTAAAAAGAAAACAATGATGTCAGAAGTGGACCAAGTGGTGGCCGCAAGGAGAATTATTTCTCCAGGCTCCAACTCGACGCGCTACATGACACTACTCGCTAACCTCTGATCTTCATCAATTATTTATAACAATTAATAATATTAAATTTTTATCATGCCGTTAAATTTTTATAAGTAATTATCGAGGAAATGATAATCATTAAAAATTTATTCATAACTCATATATATATATATATATATATATAAATAAAAGTATGTATCTCTGATCAAATCTTTTTGAGTATCTCTGACGAAAATCTGTTAATTGCTTATATATAATAATAATAATAATAATATAGATTATATTTATTCTATATATTTGTTTAATAACTTAAATATTGGATAAAGCTATATAATATTACATATCAGCTGTCTTTCTATCCTCACCTAAAAACTAGGACTAGAATACATGGTTTCTTTTTATTTTTTATTTTTATTTTTATTTTAAAGAAAACTTGCATTAATACAAGGCTAATGACCCATCGGAGAAATAGACGTACATCTTAGACCCGAAAACGGGAGAAAATCTCGGTATACTAAGAACGAGCAAACTTAGGGCTCGATTTGAAAAAAAACCCCTCCCATCAACTTAACCTTCTGAACTCTGAAGGGACAGATCACCAACTCTCACATAGAGGAGACATCAACAACATGACATAGATAAAATTCTAACAGGTCTAAAAATCTCACACCACTAGCAAACAACCTAATCGGGTGGGAAATACAACTAAAGTTGAAAAGTGGGGAAACCATCTCTGTCATTATAAAATAAAGCCGAACACATGCCGACGACCAATAACTAAGGAATGGCAACTACACCGCCTTTATTACACACCAAACACAAAATCATAAACTAAAATAAAGAAATACCCAAAAGACACTGATGAAATTTTTGACAGACAGCCGGTCATCAATAAGAAAGAGCGGGGGAACTGCAACAAACAAAGTGATCTGAGAAGATACTGTAAAGGGCCCGAGCCACCGCTTCCATCCATTGCCTCTACCAAAAGGAAGAGCCTCACAGCCTATGGAACCGCCACCCTAAGAGACCCGAAACCTCCACTAAGCATAGGAGAACCGAATCATCCACACGCCATCGAAGTTCCCATCCGCCTCCAAACCGCGAGGAAAACCGCAACCACTCTACCCACTCCACCATCTTCGACTGCCGAGCCGCATACAAGCCCCCTCCTAAGGAGCATGATATTGAGAAGACCCAACCACGATGGTCTCATACTCGCTGGCACATTGATGCACAAAGCATCGACAACCAAATGCTTGCCGGAAAAAGTCTCTCCAAAACCCAAATCTCCAATCCCAAAACAAGGCGTCGTCAGAATTTCACTAAGAAGCCGAATTCGTTACATCTGGGCACCCTACCACGAGGCCAAGAGTCCAGAGCATCGACCAAGGCGGTCATAGACTCCAACTCTTTGAAACCTACAGCAGAAGCGGCACAAAGAAGATAAGAAGAAAAGAAAACCCTAGCAAGAGAGAAGATGAAAGAGAAAACAAAAGCATTCATGAAGGTTAACACAACAAAGAAAACAAAAATGAAAACCAAAAAGAAAACAAGGAAGTCAGAAATGGACCAAGTGGTGGCCGCCGGGAGAATTATTCCTCTAGGCTCCAGCTCGACGCGGTACATCATCATTAGTAATACTCGCTAAGTTTTGATATGTTCATAAATTATTTATGACAATTAATGAAATTTGATTCTTATCATATTATATCATTAAATTTTTATATTTAATAGGTAATCACACATAGAAACGTACGTAACCATTAAAAATTCATCCATATATATGTATATATAACTAAAATCCTTTTGAGTATCGTTGACGAAAATCTGTTAATTGCTTATATATAATATAATATTATATTTATTGATCTATTTATTTAATGACTTAAATATTGGACAAAGTGATATATTATATACTAGTTGTCTCTCTCACCTAAAAAGTGGGACTAGAATACATGGTTTTGGGTTAAAAAAAAAGAGCTCTCTACATTTTGGGATATTCTCAAAATTTTACTCTCATATTTGTAACTTTTCTAGGTATTTTGACCTTTTAATTGATAAATTAACCTTTGTGATTATATAGATAATCTCGTAAAAATGATTAATCAGATTAACATTTAAAAAGAGAGAAAAAAATTAGGAAAATAGTATTTTCAATCTAAGTTACAAAGATCGTAAATTTGACAATTAGTACTTCATTATAAGCTTATCTATAACTTAAAAAGATAAATTCATGAATTCAAAAATCAAAATAAGTGTTGAGCTAGAAAAGGTTCGAATTTGACGTGAATTTAGAATTTGGAGGTATAACATCCCTTTTATGAAAGAGAAAACCAGTTACATCAATACGCATACATGCATACATGTATATTTGAATCCATAATATGATTCAAAACTGATTAATTTATATTAAAGAAAGAAAAAAAAAGGCAATACTTCTAATAAAGAACTCATCATTAATTAATATACAATGTTGTCTTTATCAGTGTAAATATATTTGGATGCTTGCTTGTGACATAATTTACATTAATTAATCACTACTCAGAGATATACATATAATTTATGAGTATAGTATTTATCAGAGAAATTGTCCCCTAGCCAGTTAATAGAGACACATTCATCTCAATACAAGAAACTCAGCAAATCAGCTAACATTAATATTATTTCTCCCAAACTTCAATCAGACTATAATTTATTTGTCGATTAAATACATATAGATAAGCCACATGCTTCAACTTGGAGGGAAATTGAGTTATTAATGGGTCAACCGAGTTAGGATGTGTTAGGTATTTTAGTATTAGCATCTTGTCACAGCACCCAAAAAAGAAGATAAGGTCAAGAAGTTTGAAATCATGGAAAAACAAGAGTAAGGGTTTGTTTATAAAAATTTGTTTTTAAATGATTTTAAAGATTATCTTTTGGATTTCAAATCTTTTTCGAAGTGATTGTAATTCTTATAATCTAATGGATTGTTCAACTCGCAGGACATGGCTCTATCGATGTCTTTCTATACGGAACAACATAAGAATTTTCTGAGCATTGTTTATTTACTAGTCTGGATAATTTAATTAACTGAGCGATAATTAAATCCAGTGTTTTACTAAAAAAGGAACATTAGTTATTCTCTCTCATCATTCATGCTTTAAAAAAAAATACAAAGAACAAAGAACTCGACGGTCTAGAAGAGTGATAACACGCTTATGCCTTGTTTGTTTCAACAATTCAAAACAAAGAATTCAATTTAAACCATAGTTCAAGATTCAAATTGATGTTTAGTAGAGAACTAAATGAGGACAGTTCAAACTCTTAATAATGGTTCAAATTACCTTTATTTTAGAACTGACTCACCCTCTGAATTCACACATTCCTAATTGTTTTCTACAGTGAAAACAATTCGGGTTCTACTTTTTCTCTCTCCTCAACTTCAAACTTAAAAATGTGATAGCTTCTTCTTTTCATTTCCTATTGAGATAATTTTTTTTAATGTGTTCATAATGAAGAGAGGAACAAATCCACATCTATATTGCATATTTTTTAATGTCATTTACAAGGAGGTTTTATAAGATTTGTTACAAAACTCTAATAACAATTTTCAATACTTTATCCAAATAGAGCTCATATTTTATTCCAAATTTAAATTATAATTTATTTATGTATCCAATTACCGGTTTAAATCATAATTCAACTTACCACAATTCAAATCAAATCACACAATTTGAACGGTGAACCAAACAAGAACTTAAGGGGCTGTTCAGTTGGGTAGATTTATTCGAGAAAGGCTCACTCAAGTGATGAACTTGGGTCAAGTTCGCGTTCGGCGCCGGTATACTCGAAACCAAACTGGAAAAATGACATTTGGTTGGAGGATTCAAACCATGTGATTTGAACAATTTTCAATTTACGTGAATTTTTTATGAGAGCAAATACTGTAGCGAATCACGAATCATGATTCCAATTACTTACCCCTTTCTCGAGTTCATCCTCCCCCTGCTACTCGAGTTTACCTCTCTGCACTTTTACAGTGCATATTTCTAAAAGAGCACCGCCTGAGAGATTCCTCACCCATGTGATCTTGGCTTCCTTCTGCCACCGCCCAAGAGAAGCGAGGACGCTGTAGAACCAATCAAAGAGAAACATCATCGAGTCATCGTTTTGGACCCCGATCGGAGAGATTGAATCTGAGGAAGGGGAAAAGGATTTGGGTTGTTTGTCGTTTAGTGGATTTATGGGGCTTCTTTTGTTCTTGTTCAGAGGTACAACTTGAAATGGGTTGTAGAGAGAGAAAGAGGAGAGAGGGAGAGAGAGGGGGATCAGTTTTTCAGGAAGTAGAGAAGGTATATATGCTTGGGGATGGAGGCTCAGTTACCTAGCTCCTGGTTCCAATTTTTTTTATTTATTGTTATTATTATTATTTTTTACTCAATGGTTGTAATTAAAAAATTTGTTGTCGTTTTCAGAGGAGAAAAATAAAACGACATGTTGTTTGTAGCATTAAATCAAATAAAATCAAATAAGGGAAAAAATATTTTTTTCTATCCCCACTATTCACAGCTCAAGTCTTATTATACACCCAAACACAAACTCAAAAATTCTCATCTCAAAACATAACTCAAATGCACACAATCAAACACAAACTCAAGTTACAACTTCATCTTAAGTTATAACTCAAATTAAACTAAAAAACTACACTCAAATCACACTCCAAAATAACAGGCCCAATTATTCTAATACAAAATAGGGTACTAAAATCAACCTAGAGATGGGTGGTGCAGTTAGACCCAGGAACTTGCAGCTTGGAAGTTTTCACTTTAAGCACTGGGTTGCTCTCAAAGAAATTGGTAGGTCGCAGCTCAAATCCACCGGTCAGAGTCGGCATCACCGGAAATTCTTCCTGGCTGGGGACATGATGGAAGCCGATGGTGTGCCACAATACTATATCCTTGTTCTCAATATTCCTATTTCTGCTTGTGTATCAGACAAACCATGAATAAGGAATATACGTATTTCATAGAAGATACATAAGTATGAATTCAAATAGAGTGTACTCCTTTTCTAATGCTTAAATATACTTAATTCTTCATTCATCCTATTATGTTAAACTCACCGAAATAATAGATTTTATCTTATTATCGGTAAACTCATTAGCAAGTGGGGAATGGAAATATTCCTATTTTTTTTAGATTTCTATTTATGACAAGTAAACATAGCATAAATTATAGTTTTTTTTTTTAAAATAATAATATTGTATAAATAATAATATTGAATAACTCAATACATATGTACAAGAACAACAAATACACATACCTGTGACACCATGTTTCCAAATTATCGTCTCCTCGACTCTGATCAACAAATTTTCCTCCTGCCCACTTCTCCGACTTGTTATATGGCGTAACCCAAACATCATAGTTCGTGAAAGGAGCTCGAGTTTGCGGGTAATCGTCGTTGGATAAAAGGGGAATGGCGGCCGGGCCCGGCAATAGACGATAACCAATGTGGTTCCCCACTTTGGTTCTCTTATTAGGGTTTATCACAGCTAGCTCTAATGGCCTCAAACCCAGCTTCAGTTTGGCATCTGATTCAGTTTTAACAATCTCAGTCTCGGTAGTCCAATAACTCTTCCTTGGCGTGATGTGTTTTGCATTAATATTATTTCTACTTTGTCGTTTTGTCACCAAAGTGGTCTTCATAATGGAATTTGCTTCACCGTCTACGTCGAGGTCTAAATGATAGGTTAAGAAGTGATCGTGGTGAATTGCTACGCTGTTTTCTGCTAGCAATGGGCCATAAACATCCTCCTTTATTTGATCTTTGTGAGTGTATGTTACTCCTTTGATTTCTAGGACTCCTGTTAGCCCAACCTATAATGATAAGAAAGACACCTTGCAGATTTTATTACTTCATTCGTGCACCTATATATATATATATATATATATATATATATATATATATGTATGTATTAAGACACATGTGGCTAGGATGATAACGGTACATATATCTTATAAAAAAGTTTAAACAAGAAACCTGACAAAAATAAAAAGAAGATAGCAACAAAGAAACTATATAGTTACTTTCTAAATTTAAATTCTAAACTCCACTTCGAGATTCCTAAAGTTAGTTATTAAGGAACTTTTTCTTTTCAGAATCTTTGTCTTTTTTTTCCCTCAGTTTGCCAAGTTTCTCGGTTTCAATTTCTCAATTTTGCTTTTAACATATTTTTTTTTTCTTTTTTTAAGACTCACATGGAAATGTAAATGCGTTATTTATTTTTTTAATAAAATAAAACGAAATGTCAAAATTCTTAAGTAAATTATATGCACAGTATTGTTTTCTTGAAAACCGTCGGCTTTGAATAATGTCAAGTGATCCTAATAAATTAATAAATATTAATTCGGTGTGCACTATACATAGTACCCCAAATTTGATGGAGCCAGCAGGCTTGAATTCCCAATCAAGAATGTAATCGTAATTGCCCACAGTGGAAACCATTCTCACTACCAAGCTCACATCTGCCCTAGCCTCAGTTATCTGCAACAATGTACACACACACAGATATATATATACACATATATATATTTAATATTAGTCATTTTGTCTATCTAATTGTTAAAATTTAGACAAAAAGTGCATAACTATTTTTGAAAATATTTCTAACATATAAATTAACAAAATTAATTCTTATTGGTCTTTTTCTATGGAGATTTTAACAATAAGGTGAATGAAAATGATTGGTTTAAGACAATTTTATAGATTGAGAACTCTTTCTTAACCTCCCGTTTGATTTTTAGATTTGAAAGAAAAGTTTGAAGAAAAATATAAATTTTGTGAAAGAAAACACTATAGCCAAAAGATTTGAACAGTAATTCAAACCTATCAAACAAACAGGCCTTTCAAACAAACTGAAATTCGGTTTTCGTGACTAAAAATGAGGTTCGGTCTTTTTTCTTTATGTAAATAGTACATACCACTTCCCCTAAGATGGCTGTCTCGGTGTGACGCCACAAGATGTTCCCAGCATGCCTTTCAAAAATACAGATTGCGTTTGATATATTCACAGGGGTCCCATCCGGTGCGGCATAGTATGCGTCGATGAACTTGGCATTGGCGGGGCAATCGGCCGACGTTACAAGCGGCACGGCGGATTGGCCAACCCCGAACTCACCGCAATCAAAGAAGGTCTTGAAGTAGACTTCATCGGTTGGGTCCATGTATGGCACAAAGAGCTCGGATACATAAGCTCTATATAACACTCGTCGGTACTTGTTCTTGTCAAGATCAAAGATCGATGCTTGAGATAAAACTACGCCAACTCTAGCGTCAAATGCTAGATGGAATTTCCAGTTTGCCCAGCTAGTTACAATGAAAATCTCATAATTAGTACTCAGAACCATTTATGCAATTTCCTCCATGTTTTAGTTTTGACGAAAGAGTG